CCGGTCCTCAACGAGTGCAGAGGTGCAAATGACTGGTAATGGTCTTGATGAACACGAGTTCATTAAATTGTTTGTGTACCTCATGAAGCATCCGGGACATGTAGATTTGAGAAGCCCTGATAGCATTTTAGCTTCTGAAGAGTCATGCATCTTAAGTGATGCTAAGAACGTGTACGATGCCTTAGAACGTGTCCAAACATGTGGCCTCCAAATGGAGGAACGACGGACTTCTATCGAAGTGTTAGGTATTCATGAGCGCCTTAATCAGGCCAATGTCAAGTGCAGATGGGTCTCCGGCGATCAGGAACTTGCAGATGGATTGACAAAACCATGGAAGGGAGAACAATTGATCCAGGCGATGACACAAACGACATGGAGGATAATGTTTGATCCTAACTTTGTTTCTGGACGAAAACGTAAACAAGTGAAGCAAATAGAGACGAAGTATGGTGATCGGGTTGAATTTGGTGTGTTCGCTGGATGATTCCGTCTTTGGTCAAGAAAATTTTTGGACCTGTGTGAATTTGATTCCATTGGTTGACCAAAGACCCTGATCCTCAATGTGTTCGGGGCTCAAGACGTGCCCTGTGTTCCATAGCATTCACTCCTGACTTGCTCTAGCCATAGCGTGTTATAAACCAGCGTGTGCTCTTGTGGTTTGCGAGAAAGGTGGACAGTTGTTTACAGTGGGCCTCCGCTACCATATTTATAGCCTCCAACCTCATAGCGATGGCCTCCAACCCAATAGCAATGGCCTCCAACCTCATAGCGATGGCCTCCAACCTAATAGCAATGGCTTCCAACCCAATAGCCATGGTCTCCTGCCTAATGGCAATAGCCTCCAACCTCACAGCGATGGCCTCCAACCCAATAGCAATGCCTCCAACCTCATAGCGATGGCCTCCAACCTAGTAGCAATGGCCTCCAACCTCATAGTGATGGCCTCCAACCTAATAGCAATGGGCTCCAACCTAATAGCCATGGTCTCCAACCTAATAGCAATGGCCTCCAACCTAATAGCGATGGCCTCCAACCTAATAGCAGTGGCCTCCAACCTCATAGGGATGGCCTCCAATTGGCCTCCAACCTAATAGCCATGGCCTCCAACCTAGTAGCATTGGTCTCCAATCTAATAGCAATGGCCTCCAACCCAATAGCGATGGTCTCCGACCCAATAGCATTGGCCGCCAACCTAATAGCAATGGCCTCCAACCTAATAGCAATGGCCTTTAACCCAATAGCGATGATAGCAATGGCCTCCAACCTCATAGCGATGGCCTCCAACCTAATAGCAATGGCCTCCAACCTCATAGCGATGGCCTCCAACCTCATAGCTTTGGCCTCCAACCTAATAGCAATGGCCTCCAACCAAACAGCAATGGCCTCCAACCTCATAGCGATGGCCTCCAACCTAATAGCAATGGCCTCCAACCTCATAGCAATGGCCTCCAACCTAATAGCAATGGCCTCCATTCCAATAGCGATGGCCTCCATTCCAAGAGCGATGGCCTCCATTCCAAGAGCGATGGCCTCATTCCAAGAGCGATGGCCTCCCTATATACGTATGAGTCTCTAGGAGTACCACCGAAGGTTTCACATTCCGAACCATCAGGCTGTGCCTCTCACCTCTCAGGGGGGGGAACTTGTTGGTTTTTCTTGGCTGCTTATCACTGCAACACCACTCCGGTATCGAAGGTCTGTCTTAGCTCTGAAGAGTTCCCTCCCAGAAGCACCCCCAAAAGTACACCACCCTCCGCTTGCCACCGAAGGCCTCGGAATGAGCTCGCCCGGTTCAGGGCCGGCGCTGGATTCCACACGCTTCCGGTGAACCGCCGACCCAAAGAGACGCGGGCGACGCGGGCGACGCGGGCGACGCGGGCCGCGGCGGGGACGAGTCGACTCGTCGGGTGGGAAGTCCGGGAGGAGAGACACCCGGCATCTAAAAGGAATTTCTGAGCCAAGGGGTTGAGACATTCTGACATTCTGACATGTCTTGGGGTGTGCTACGCTGAAACGGTTTCTTCTGAGATACTCGTAGATTTTTGGGAGTGCTCATGAGTGCTCATTGAACTGGTTTGCACACCCTTTGGCTTGTCCAATTTCATGCACCAAGCCTTTTGCCTTGCCTTGCCTCGCTTTACGCACATGCTAGTCTAGTACAATCTGAGGTCGAGTCGACTCGACCACTCTGAAATGCAGCATGAAAGAGCGAATCAGAAGAAGTTTCATCTCTTTTTAGTACTGTCACCATATACCTCCACTCCTCCCTTTCTGCCTCTCCAACTGGTCGAAAGTCGAGTGTTTCCAACCCCACTCCACTTCACAGTCCAGTGTTGTCCTGGTGACGTGGCGCGAGAGAGCGTCGCAGATCCTGCTCGAGAGTGCGCAGCACCGTGCGAAAGGGTCATCAGTCGCATCTGGATGCCGCTTTTTGAGCTGCTCGAGATGGAGAGGGCCCTGAAGCAACAGACGCTTGAGAACAGAGAAGCAACGAGTTCAGGCAGAAAGCTGAGCACTTCTTACCCCTCAACGAGGCCTCAATGACTCAACGGTCGAAACACCAAGAAACGCTTCAGAACCACGTAGCGCGCAGAAGAACAGGCACGAACTGCAACCAGTAACGTTGGTGTTGTACCCCGAAACACACGACCAGGGCAAGGGTGTGCGCAGGTATACGTAGCCGTGACCAGCCGCCCAGTAGAGACCAGGGTAGATGCAAAGAAAGGGGGTCCCTTGATGCGCAGGTCAGTTTTACAACCCAAACAGAGACAGAAGTGATCCACGGAACAGAAGTATCCAGAAGTAGTATTAGGCCTAAACCTATATATGCATGGAATAATTGAAGAGTAAGTATCCTATATTGGAATTCAAGAGTAATGAAGTATACAGTGTACATTGTTCCGTAAGCTGTCAGAGCACACATTGCGTAGCTATCTACAGCTGACATGGATCCTCAGGGGTATTGAATTGGGTGTTTGAGGTCGAAAAGCGGTCTGACCTGACTGCCGTTTCGGAGGGGCAGGTCTGCACAGACGCCACCGTGTCTCGCTCATGGCGCCGCCCAAGGCGCCGGACGACGCCGCGAGTCATGGGACGAACCCTCCCTTCCGGCAGTGGTGCGATGAAAATGCGTTGGGACCTGTGTTCTATGGGTTGGATATATATATATATATACATTATATATACATAGAATGGACGAATTTTCAAAAAACAATTCACTCCTCAAAACCGGCCCTTCCAAACCCCATAGATAGAATATGGTTGTAGGGGCTTCTCTTCCTTTTCCTTTATTGTCTTTTTCCTTCTCTGTTCCTGCTATTTTCTGTTCGTTAAAAGAAAAGAACAAAGGAAAGGACAGCTTAGATAATACACATAGGAACAGAACATGAAAATAACAAAGGAGCAAATTCCGGAATGGGAGGAGTTGATAAGAATCTTATCACTAGATTCTATCTATAGGGTCAGTCTTCATACAATGAAAGGGATGTCAAAAACCCTGAGTTTTTTTCAAAAAGAAAACCACCCCCTACGAAAGTAGATTCTATCTACTCCAGGATGATTATGTATATGTATATATATATATATTGTAGTGTTTCTTCGTTTTGGGGGGGGGGTTAGATAGTTTTTGTCGATGTTTTTCCCGTGGTAGTGCGAGTTGAGTGGTATTCTCTTTGTTTTTTGGGTGTTGTGGTTGGGTGTTGGTTCTGGACATATGTCTAAGATCGTTTGGTTGTACTTTCTGTGGTAGGGTTGTGGTTGGGTGTTGGGTGGTGCATGTTGAGTTGGATGGTGGTCTGCTATGATGGTCTGAGTCTATTCATTGGGGCCATCGAACTTCTGTGCATTAGGGACACATGTGAACGCATGTGACACCTCTCCAGTCACTGCCGAGCAACTGGTCGCGGGGCGCGCGTCCGATGTGCTGGCTGTTGAGCTCAAAGATCTACGAGAGAACCAGCAATCAAGGCAGCAGAAACAACTCGAAATGCAATAAAAACTGGAACAATGGCGCAACAATCCTTGCACTTTGACCACGTGAACAAGACTTTAGTAATCGCACGTGTTTCAAAGACATGTTGTAGCACTCTTGTGTCCTGGTTCACAGACAATTCCATTATGGTGTGTTTTGGGGGTAGAGGTACTTTTGTTCATTTTCGGAAGATGGTCATGTCGTCCATGTGCGCGCGTTTTTCCCACGAGACTTTCTGTTGACGCGTTGCTGTCTCTTTCGTGTGTGTTTGTGTGGTGTCCCTCCATCAAAACCGGTCTCTAATTTCATTGTTTACATCTCTTACCTCGACAGTATTAGGGCATAGGGCATAGGGCATAGGACAAGGTCCTGTTCACTGGGGACTTCGACAGCATTCTTAATTCATTTGATTTCATTGGCGTTTGTATCCTCGAGATCCTGTGGACTTCACCTTTATGCTGCACCTTCTTTTGCCTGATCGTTGGCCTCTCACTTGCGACAGTTCTTGCTCCTGCCGCTTCGTTGCTACAAAGCTACCTTTGGAAAATGCTGCCTTCTGAATGTAGAGGGAGGGTCTAAGACCTTAGTATATCAATATTCTACTTCGCAGTCGTTCATCTCTCTTGCATCCTGTCAGATCTGTATTGCCTGTCTTGAGCGCTCGTCTCATGAAGGGGCTTCCATGTAAAAAAAGCAGCGACGCTGCTGACTCCGACCTGAACAATTACGTAGTTTAGATGTGCTTGAATCAACTTTCTTGATGTTTTTGTATAGTTCGTACTTGTCACAAGCAGTCGCCTCGTGTGTTCCTTGTTGCTGGAAGTGAAGCGGCGATGTGAAAGAGTGCAGAATTGCAGATGAGACTGAATGGTGCAGCGGCAAACGACACGTGCAAGCTATTATAGTGTGTCCCCATTGACATTGACTCCATTGTTTGGACACTTCAGTCACGAGTGTCCTCACTTGGCAATATAGCTACCATTTCACCACTGAAAGCCAGGGGAAGTTGACCAGGTCACACCTCTAGACCCTCCGAAGTCTTTTCCATTTGACTCACCGGTCGGCGCTGCTTCGAAATGGACCGTGGAAGTCCGCAGTGCATTGTGGAGAAGCATCTGGGCGGACCTGGAACTCAAGCTTGGGTTCGTATTTGGAATGACCACCTATTTGTACACACATACCATCCTAATCCTATACCATTTTGCCCAGTATATATAGTCGTATCATCGAATCTGGACCCACTGCGGATGTTAAGCTCCGCCAGATACCAACACTTTGATCAAGATGGGTGCCCACTGAGATTTGCTGAGTCACGTTCGTTTCGGCATTTTCGTTAAGGAAAACCATGGAACACTTCCTCCCATTCGATCGGGATGGGAAGGTCGACTCAGGTCGGCTTTTCTCACCCCGACGCGTGCGCGGGAAGGGGGGAGCTGGACCGAAGTCGTGGCGGTGTGGCCTTCGTGGACCCCGGAAGCCTTCCGTTTCTTCGTGGGACTCCAACCAGGTGCAGGATGCGTACGCAGCGACGGCTGGGAGAAGCTTCGAATGATCCAGAATCTGGGCCGAGCCTGGTGGAGTGTTCCACGAAATCGCACCAGGTTTAAAAGAGCATCAACTGCGCTTTCTGGGGTTCCCGCTTATACGCCCCGTCCCCTCCGACGCACGTCACCGCCGTAGATCCGTAGATCGTCGTCGATGCGTCGCCTCGTCCGAGCTCCCCAGGTGACGTGGTGGCGGCTCCGATGGCACGACGCCCACGGGTGGAGGAAGTGTGTTTGCAGGAGATGGGTCGAGCGGGAGACGTTTCGTTTCGTCGAGTGGACCTCTCGGCATTTTTCTGGGCGTTTCATGCCACGAAACAAGGAAAGACCCCAGACCCCAGATCCCAGACAATGTTCCAGACAGTTATATAAGGTTATGTCTTATAAGTCCTTCTCTTTTTTTGGGGGGGGCATTTGCTGGGAACCACCACGCCTTTAAATGTCATGGCAGGGGTTTCACTTTCCAAAGCGAAGCATCCCCATGGGTAGAGCTTCAATTGAAATGCCACTTCCCGTTTGGTGTTTTCCAGCCACTTTGGAACTTCGCAGAAAGGAAGAGTGGAAACTGCAGAGGCCTTGCCCTTCCACTCTGTTTTGTTTCTCCACTCTACCGACTTATGCTTGGACGACTGGAAGTCCACTGCAAGTGCCTTCCGATCTGTTCGATACTCCAACTTTGATCCCTTTAAATCATAATTCATCCGAAAAAGACAAAAAAGCGAACCCATTTTGGCAGAAAACCCTTGCACCGCTCCATCCCTTTTTGCCCCCACCCTTCGGAGGACCTCCCCAAGCTCCAACCACGGGCATCGCGGGAAGCCGCGGCCGACGCGGATGCCGGCTCTTCACCTTTGCGGCACGGTGACGGGGCGTGGCGGCGCTCGCTGAAGGGCTTTCACGAGCGCTTCGTGGCCCAGGTGAAGCTCAGCCTTCGAGGAGGGCGCTCGTTCGGTGCACTGGGAGCGCCCGCGTTCGGACGAGTAGAGTACGTACGAAGCACGCGTTCGGATCGTTCGAATCTGCGCGCGAACGAGGGGAGTTGGGGTCCAGCGGGGAAGTTCGGAGAAGGCGGATGGACATGGACCGTTCTACATTGCTTCGGTTCAGAAGAGGTGTGAAGGTTTTATTTTGGATGTTTTTTTGGGGGGGGAAGGGGTGGAAGCGAAAGGGTAGGAGGAAGGGCTTACTTGCCTTTATGGGTTTTTGCCCCTGGTCGAGGGATTTTTGCAATATGTTTTGGTTTTTGGACAGCTGAGAGGTCTTGGCGCATTCGCTGGGAAACAGGGGGAGCCTTAGGGCGCAAGTTCTCTTGATGTGTTCTTCATCCTTTGGGCGCCTTTTGCCGTGTGGCTGGGGCATGCTGGGACCCGTGTGGATGTCAGGATGGATTCAGATATGTCTCCAAGCGATTTTTGAAAGGATCTCTGAATGCCTTGCCTCCGCTCTTTGTTCTCTTTGGGCATCAAAAGATGCGGAAAAAAACACGCTTTTGGACATGGTCACCATGTCGCACACCGTCCTGTCACCATGTCGTCCCTACTTCGGTGAACCGGGATTCCGGTGGACACCGCGGTGGACGCCGGGTGCATCGGCCCAGGGCCTCCGGGACGGACTGCAGGAGCGGTTGAGGGGATCGCACCTGTCGTGGTGTCCCAAGCGGCCAAGACGAGCTGGGACAGCAGCGATCCAATGACCACGGGTGACTTGGTCGAGGGTGGGGAGTGGCACGTCATAGATGGAGCATGATCGCAGCCGAAAACGATGGGATGGTGGGATAGTGTCGGACATGCAGATGAAAGACACACGCAAGGTAGGTAGATGAGATGGTTGCTATCAAAATGCGAGAGCAACATGCCTCCTGCAGCAGATTTGAAGCTGATTGACCGACCAATCGACGGCTCTTGTGGAGAGAAACCATGGAGAAAACCCATCATGTGCACAAAATAGAGCACACTTCCAGTCAGACCTCATTGCTTTCCCTAGGGATCCAAGTACCTCCTCAGAAGGTATTTGGAATTGTTTGGACCCTCGTAGCACCCACCCCGCAGTCCCACCTTCGAAACGAAGGTACTTGGAGCCCTAGGGTTTCTTAGACTCACCACCATCGAGGCGCCACCCTTTGGGACGCTGCGTTGCTGCTCAGCGCCTACCTCTGTACGTCAACGCGCCCGCGCCTACGTGGCTCGCACGTCTTGGAGCTGGGCAGTGGCTGCGGTCTGGTGGGCTTGGTGGCAAAGCGCTTGGGAGCCGAGGTCGGCATTTTGGGGGGTTTGGGGGAGGTGAGAAATGCGGAGACATGTCGCATTCCCAGACACGACCACCATGTGGGACTGCCATCTGGGACTGCCGAGAAAAAGGCTATATAGTTGGTGGTGGTGGTGGTGCCAGGTAATTCAATGAGGCGGCAGTCCTATGGCAGTCCCAGACAGGTCGTGTCTGGGTATGCTTTTAATTGGGTGAACCAAATATGTGCGAAGTCGAAGAGAGGATGTGGCGAAGTCGACCTGCGAAGTCGATGGAGACAGGCACTGAAACACCGGTCTCTCGACCGGTGTATCAAGGCCCCACTGCCAGACTTCATCCTTGGACTTCATATTGGGCTTCCTGTTGGACTATGTTGGACTTGCTGTTAGACATCCTGAAACCTGCTTTCCTGGCAATGAAGGGTCCAAAACCATCCAAGGGTCCAAAAAAAATTAGGTCATGGAGTGATTGTATGACAACAAATTGATTGGGCTGGAGCACAAAGGGTAGGTTAGATTAGATTAGGGAACTTGCGATTTTGTGTTAGTTTGTGATCTGAAAAATCCATCGGAGCTTCACTCAGATCGCCCCAGATTTGGGCAAACACACCCCTTACTTGCCCTGCTAAAGCAACCAGGCATCTGCTGGACTGCTGGGTTCTCAGCCTTGACTTTTCTACGCCTAATCTTTCTTCATGAATCAAGCTGCTTAAGAGCTTTATGTCCGGAAGTCAGAGTTTTAGAGGCACATAAAGTCTGGCACAAGTTGCAAATCTCACCAAGGAAGCTTCAGACATAATGCAGCAAATGACAATCGAATTCCAGAGCACCACCCAATACCATTGAAGCTAGCAAACATTTTGCGAAAGATCCTGGATGCAGCCGGGCCATGTTGCGAAAGATCCTGGGTGCAGCCAGGTGAATTTGCGACAAATGCTGGCAACATTTGTCTCAAAACCATGTCCCTCACCAGGGATGGCCCGGCTGCATCCAGGATCTTTCGCGCAATTATTGCTAGCTTCAATAGTATTGGGTGGGCTCCGCCTTCGCCTTTGTCTTGTTTTGGGAGTGTCCTGCAAAGTAGACTGCTGTTGTTGTCCTTTGCTTGGCGTTGTGTTTGTGCCGGGTGACGTCCGTCCCAACGACGATGCGGTGCCTCGGACACCCCCAGACATGCTTTCAGGTGAGTCTCCTGCCTTTCCTACGTGTCTCCTCGGTTATGTTTCCCTTTTTGGTCAGGCACTACCGCACGCGAGCGGTCTCGCAGTCCTTACCTCGAAAGAAAGAAGGTTCGTGTACTGTCTTCCTGTTTTGCACGCTTTTCGTCTACCTTTGAGGTCCTCGCACAAACGTTTTGCACGTGCGGCAGCTCCCGGTTGAGATCGCTGCCGAACAATTGTCCGAGGACTTCAGCGTGATTGGCCCGGTGACTTCTGCAGAGGCGCGATCGTCGGTTTCTCCTTTTTCTAGTTCTTGTGTTCGTCGCGTCCTTTGATGCAGGTACTGACGCGAGGACCGGCATACGCCGTGGCCACTGTCCGGTACGCGTCTGGGCGAGACGCCCAAAACGCAATACTACGGTGGAACGGCACCCGATACCGTGGCCACTACGTGACCATTCAGTGGTCACGCAGAGGGTGAGGAAGCTGTTCTATAACCTAGATTTTTCGGATGTTACGACACCATCAGGCTTTCTGTGTCAGTGGTCCCTCTAGACACACTGTGTCCACGGTTTTTGAACAACAGTTGTCAAAGTGAGCTTCATGGCCAAAAATGCGCCTGTTTTTATCACACCTGGTCCATGTGTGCTTCCATCGGTGGTTCACTGTTTCACCCGGTTTTTTGGTGCATTGAGACAGAAGGTGTTGCGGTTGTGAAGATATGCAGGTGTGAGGATGTACATATTGGATATGTACGGTGTGAAAATATGCAAGTGTAAAGATCTGCAAGAGAGAAAGAGAGAGCGAGAGAGAGTTGTAGGTTCCTCTCAAGTTTGTCAGGGTAACCGCGTGTGCCCTTCGGCGCCGAGGTCTCCGAGTGGCGGCACTTTAGCCGCCTCGCCCCAAGGCGAGGGCGCGAGGCCACCACCGTGCCTCGGCCGTGCTGATGTAATGGTCGGAAGTTCGACTCGAGCGATTCATACCCCCGAATCACACCTCGAATCATACCACCGAATCATACCCCTCAAAAAGTATGTCTAAGAACCAGGGTCTTAGGTGAAGCTTTGGCTGGTTTTTGTGCCTTGTAGATGTCCGTGAACCAATGGTGCAAAAAGCATGGTGAGAACACGCCTCAGTTTTTTTCAGAATTTAGTGACCGTACCGAATCACACCCGATCCATCCCCGTTTCATACCCGAATCACGCACCCTGCACCCATCCCACATCCCTGATTGTTCCCACCACTGCAATCGAAAGGGTCGTGCCTTTGGCGGGGTTTGGAGTCTTTGGTAGAAGAGTTCCTTGCCTGGTCTGCCCAGCAACCGCCAGATACTGCTTGCCTACTGCCTCACAGTGCAGATGTGGGCCCACTGCTGGAAGTCTAGCCAGTCCAACATTGCAATTTCAAAGCTGCGAATCATACCCTCGAATCATACCACCTGTTCAAACTTCCCGGCCCGACTACGGAATAAAAATACACACCCAAATGTCGTCTCCACGCGACGAAGGCCACGCGGACGAGAATATGTCGTGCCCAGATGACAACGGCCACGCGCACGAGACTACGTCGTGTCCAAACAACAAAGTGCATTTGCGCAAAAACTGTTTTACACACACCGGTCGATAGGTGTGCAGCTCTGATGATGTGCATGTTTGGAAATGTGCAGGTGTAAGTTGTGGTGATTTGTGATGCATTTGTCGTTAAAAAAACCATTCGCTCACGTGCTCTCAGGAAAAATAAACTTTCCAGTTTGCCCCCTGAACCGCAAAAACTTTGAGTTCCTGTTTTCAACCACTTTGAACCTCAACCTACGGGCATTTACATCATCCAGTCCCTTGATTTTATTGTGAATGAAATGCGTGTGGCCATGCGTTCAGAAACGGATGTCGTTGCAACTGCATAGCGAGGCGTGACACTTGGATTTGTTTAGTTGTTGTCAATACGTCACTGCTTTGTGTTCACACTTCATGGCGGGAAGGCAAATCACCTGGTCCGTGCAAGCAGGACGTTGATGGCTCAAGCAAGGAGATTGCTTTAAAAGAAAGAACACAAGACTTATATGGAAGGCAGGACAACTCCTGATACACCCCCATTTCGAAGCAAAACAAAAAGACATGAACACAGTCACACCCATGTGACATGCAGCATGCACGTCTAAACTGTTCACCAAACCACCGTCACAGTTCTGCCCTCTCTCGGCACCCGCTTTCACACCTCGCCGCGGCGGAGGTTCGCCTGTGGGGTGTCGTGGCATTGTGGTTATCATCTCACACCGTTCATTGCATGAAAACTCCAAATCTTCGCACTGGGAACGGCCAGGGTACTTCTTGGGAACGACCCACTCTTCAAATCCTGTTTTTGGTATATAGGCTATATAGGTCTTTCTTCACCAATCTTAAACGCCGTTGCCTTGAGGTGAGGCATTGAAACAGTTTGTATAATCCACCGTCTCCAGCGGCTCGCTCCCCCAGGCTTGCTCGCCTGCTCCGCAAAGTAGCGCTCATCTTTGGCCCACCGCCTCAGTCCGAGCGGTGTGAGACGAAGAGGACAGCGAAGACCGGATTCACAGGCACGATCTCCGTCACACACGATACAAAGTACTGGCATTTTGAGGTGTTGCATTGGCTTCAAAAATGACTTTTCGATATACGACCTCCTACCCACACTGCTTCGCTGCGAAGTGAGAACTGCAAATCGATTGAAAGAAGGTTGGCTTCAACGGACCCAACTCAAAGGGGAGCAAACAAAGGCTTGGCAAAATGACTTGAGTTCCCAAAATGCAAGTGATGCAGGTCACCCTGGTGGCATCAGGAGCATCGCGAGTTTATGTGTTTGATGCTATTCCGTTTTTTTGAGGTTAAAGTCGTTTAACGAGAGTCGGGCAGCAACAAAAAGGAACGACCGCTTCATTGCAGCTGCAACGCGTGGATTCTCTGCGCAGCTGCTGCGTCTCCTCGAAGTTGCTGCGCGCCTTCACTTGCCCATGGACCTCAGGAAGCAGCAGGCTGATCGAAGTGAGCATTTCATTCCCGGGAGACAGGCGAGCGCGGCGGATGGGAAACTTCGAAAACTTTGAAGATCTGAACTCCCATGCACTTCTCGGCTTTAATCCCCCCCCAATGCAGCAAGAATATAGACTTTGCTTTATGGGGCGGTTTCAAGAGAGGGATTAAAGAGTGCCGAGTGTCAAGCAAGAGTGTCTAGCAAAGAGTGTCAAGAAAGAGCGTCTAGCGAGAGTGTCTAGCAAAATGTCTAGCAAAGAGTGTCAGGAAAGAGTGTCTAGCAGAATGTCATTTCAAGAGTGTCCAGCAAGAGTGTCTAGCAGAGTGTCCTGCCCAGCAAGAGTGTCCAGCAAGAGTGTCTAGCAAAGAGTGTCCAGCAAGAGTGTCTAGCAAAGAGTGTCAAGAGAGAGTATCAAGCAAGAGTGTCCAGCAAGAGTGTCAAGAGAAAGTGTCAAGAAAGATAGCAAAGAGTGTCAAGAAAGAGTGTCAAGAGTGTCGTGTCAAGAAAGATTGTCTAGCAAGAGTGTGAAGCAAGAGTGTCCAGCAAGAGTGTCAAGCAAGAGTGTCCAAGAAAGATTGTCTAGCAAAGAGTGTCTAACTCCATGACCCAATATCTTTTTGGACCCTTGGATGGTTTTGGACCCTTCATTGCAAGGAAAATATATGTTGGAAAAGTGTTCATATTGAACTTCATCTTCGTATTGAACTTCTTTAGATCGACACCCGGACACCCAACCCAACCCACCCACTTCGCAGAAAAGCCCGAACGCCGCGCTCGGCGGCCGAAGCCCGAACGCGGCCGAAGCCCGGTTGCGAAGACGCCCGGTTCGCTTCGCGACCAGGTGACGCTCACCGACCTCCCAAGCTTGCTGCCCTTGCTGGAGGCGCATGCTTCGGCTACACCATTCGCCCTCGGCCGGCGATCGCAGTGTGTGGAGCAGGGATCAGACTGGCGATGGTTGGGGCGAACATGGAGCTTTTCGCACGAACGTCCACGTGGTTCATGGGTTGAATTGATTTAGAACTGCACCGCAGTGTGTGTTTTTTCGCTGCAGCACTTTTGAAGTGCGAAAGTGTGGATTGGATGGAGAGTCGACATATGTCTGCAAAACCTATTATGTAGCGGTCCCCAAATAGATGACCGTGGCACGGTTTCCAATACATTTTTTGGTGGGGATCTACGAGTTTCTATCTATATTCGGGTCATTTCGGGTCTATTTCCATGCATTTGCGGAGATGAGTTGTACCACAAGTACTAAATCGAGAGGCTTAAACGGCAACAGTCAGTACACAATGCTGTTCTATAGTGCTGAACAAGGCCTTTAGTAGTTGCGACCGAACCCGAGTAGATCGTGATTGTGGGCGGTCGCCGTTCTTCGGCCGTGCTAGGCCAATGCGAACTGCAACGGCGCCGACGTGGACATTCGGCCGCTCTTGTGGCAAGAGGCGGGAGGGAGGGCATGTATGTCCGTAGTTGGCTTCCGGGCCAGGGTCTCATTTATGATGTATACCTGGAGTCGACCCGGTGTCGTACCTCGGAAGATGGGTACAAGTAGCTGGTTTTATGGGGTCATGTCCCATTTTCAAAGGTACTTTGGAGGGCCCAGGTAGTGAATTTTGGATAGGATCTTGATGATCTAGTCGTTTTTTGAAGTATGAGGTCCAACTATTCGACAAGGACCTTCAGAATGGAGGCTTTTGAGATCCCAAGTTGATCCCAAGACTCTTGGTTCCGTTTGGAAGCAAGGCAGACGTTTCTGCCATGTTCACATCGAAACCATCTGATGCTCATCCCAGGTCTGGGGTCTCCCCCCACCCCAACGGCCTCTCAACCGACACCGTCTCAAACCGCTCCGCGCGCGTTCAACCCACGCCCCACGTGGAGGCTGCCCAGATGCGGTGGATTCAAAACCACCGCTTCGACCTGGTCCTGACGCCTCGAGTGGGACAAACGCGAAGATCGGATGGAACGTCGAGTTCCAAAACGGAAACGGGATGGACGTTCAAAGGGGAAGAGGGATTGGAACATCACTGGGTTTTAGGAATGACTTGGTTTTTGTCTTCCCTTTGAAAAAGGACAATTCTCCTCATGAAGAATTTCCGTGATTTTTTCTCACCGAACGCTAGGGGCGTTACGTGGGTGGTTATATATTGATGTTATTTGTCATGATTAGGTCTATAGTTTCTATAAAAGCTAAGATGTATCATGGAGGACCACAACACGCAGGGCTCCGCATGTGTTGACTTCCTTCACGTCGCAGCTAGACGAGTTGTGAAGTGGAAGGGGAATGGGCAGCCCTGGGCAGATGTAGACGGACATAAGCCGATGCATCTGGATATTTTTTTGGATGTGACCCTTCTGCCAAAGTGCATGATGTGGGTTTCATTTGACAGCTTTTACCGCAAATCCACCTCGAGCCGTGGCAAGCTTTGATGAGTTGAGCTATTGATGAGTACACTCAGTCTATCTACTGATTGTTGGCTTTCAGTCCATGTTTACTGCCCATCGTACATTTCGCATCACAGGGTGCTGAGGCATGATGAGGTGATGTATGTGACAAGTCGCTCATGTGAAGTAGCAAACTTCTAAGTGCGAAGCTCCAGCCATAAGACATGCTTCCCCATAAATGCCTAGTGCCCAACGACCTGACACTGTCGACTACTGAGGGAGGAATAGGATTGATAGGATTGGCCATTGGTTGCGCTGTCCTTTTCCTCGGTTTTTCTTTACTTCTTCTCTTTGCTGCTAGTGAAAGCAGCCTTGTTTGAAGCCGGGAGGTCAAAAGGAGCCAGGGAAGGTCATGATGAGAAGGAGCAGGGCTATGACGGGCTTCACTACTCATGACACGAAAAAGTCTCCAATAATGACGTCTCTAGAGACAGGTGCGGTGGAAGAGGTGGCCAAGTAGCTTCTTGTTACTCGGTGGAAGAGATGGCCACCTACTCCTGGTGGGTGCTTTTTCTTGGCCAATTTGTGCAATGAAACCCACCGCGTTAAGCAACGAGGATGTCGGACCTCCTCTACCACGAGGAGCAGTTCGACCCGCTTTGGACCGTTCTGCAGGTGCTGACAGCGCAAGCCAAGCTGAAGCGGAGACGTGGCTCGGTTGGAGCGACAGTAAGTCTATAACCCAGACACTCCATGACATGGAGTAGGTTCTCAATTTGTGAACATGCAGCGTAAGATTTGCCTGCGTCTTCGGTCTTCTTCAACATCCGTGGCGCGTAAGCTCACATTGTGGTCGCGTATGAAAAGCGTAAGGAGCGGAAGACAGTTACGACATAGGGGTTTACTCATACGTCTTTTGCAGAGCTCATGGGACTGCCGTGCGTCGGACTGCCGCCCTATAGACGGACGGACCCCCCAGTCAACCACCACCACCCCCACGCCCTTTTCTCGGCAGTCCGACGTGGCAGTCCGGCGGTCCGTGTCTGGGTAAGGAGACGACGAGCCAGACGTCTCACAGGTCGAAGACGATGTGACGATGGACAGGTGATCGGCCCAGACTAGTAACTCAGGAACCAGGGGGGTTGAAGGTTCGGTCGAACTGGATGTTGAGCTGGAACCCACGGAGCAGTTCTCAGACTCGATGTTCCTGGTTGGCACTGGATGTTTTGGGGTTCACCTCGGAGGCAGGCAGGGCATTGCATCAGACCACTCTGCGAAGCGTTTCGCGTACGGGGCGCACTCGAAGCAACTGGGTGTGTCCAGCATGAAATAGCCGACCAAGTGCTGCCTGTGTTCCCAGCTCCATGAGACTGTGAGTCCTCCAGATCCTCCAGGCCCCTCGACGCAGTTACCAACACGCCACCCCTCTTTCCGTGGCTTCCACGATGCGTCGCGGCGTGGTGACGTTCGTGAGGCTTGAAATTCCTTTGGTTCCAAGAACTTCACCAACCGGAACTTTGTGAACGCTTCCACCGTCAGCTGCCTGGCCCCTTGAGCGACCCAACATCTTGCGAGCGAGCGAACAAGCGAGCTTTCTGCAGCCAAGCGAAGACATGATAAGATTCACTTCTGAAACAATGCTTCATTAATATACACTCTTCCTGACAGGTGATTGAACGTCCCAAGGCACGTCTATAATCCTGAATCGATCAAATCCTCTTGACCTCCCCACACGCGCGTGTTTCATATCTTTGCCCTCTATGGCCCTATATGTTCCACACAAACGCCCGACCTCGTAGACGTCTTCCTCGAATCTGTCTCAACCAAGGTTGCGCCAGAGGGCTTGGCGCATCCAACGCCTTGCATCGGTGGCCGATGACCTTGGCCAACCCTTGGTCCTCTGGCGCCTGCGCCCGCCGTTCCGCGCCCTTCGCCGCGCGGGAACCGCGCGCGGGAACCGCGCGGGCGCCGCGCGCGGGGCGTTCGGGCGGCGGCGCTGGAAGCGGCGGATGTGTGGATTCCGGAGCCCGAAAAGGGACGCGTTCGGCCGGCGGAGGCAGCGAGTTGGTGACGCTACAGAGGACCGATTCTACACACTGATCGATCGTCTAGTGAATAGTGACACATCTTGACTGCGCCGGTCTGAGTCACACCTCCCCAGATCCTCCAGATCCTCAAGATCGATCCTCAATGCGCTGGCACATACTCTCCTCACCGTCAGCAGGCTCCGGCCACGACGGAGCGGATCTTGGAGCTCTTGAAAGGCCGGAAGGAACGGGCAACCACCGGCGCCCGGTCCCGGGTGTCTTTGGCCGGCTTTTGTGGCGGAAGGCCGCGGTTTTTTCCATGTGGTGAACTTGGTGAACGCGCGAAATTGTAGAGTTTGGATTCTATGATGAGTTCAGTTCTGAAGATTTTGAACCCCCCATATTAAGGAAGAGGTTTGACAATCCATATATTAATGTAAGAGGTTTGACAATCCATGTCTGAGGGGGGTTTACATGGTTTTACTAAGCGCCTACATTGTGGAAGCCAACATGTATGATATCCATTTACGGTATAGATCTTTTGCAGCAAAAAGACCACACTCCACCAATTGAAATCGAGGTGAACAATGTGTGGCACGCCTTCATTTCAACAAACAACACGTAATTATAGTATATACCCAGCAACGCCTGCGGGCTGGTGTCGCAGCGGAGGGTTTGGGGCCCGGCAAACGACGCCATCTATTTCGACACCAAAACAGGGGCGAGCCGCAGCCAGCCAAAATGTTTAACGTCGCCTGGCACGTTGCCTTCGGGAGCTCATAAAACAGTTGCCTGGCACGTGCCAGAGGCTCACTGCCAAGGCTCCCTCGCCACAGCTTTCCACCATCTAGTTCCACACCAAAAACGGGCGAGCCGCAGCCACCCAAATCCCTAACATCGCCTGGCACGATGCCGGGCGCGTCTCTTTCGATGCCTAGTTGCCTGTCCCAGTTGCCCGGCAGCTGAGATGCGCCACTCTGGATCTGCTTGGCAGAACAAGGCCGCGGCGCCACGACGAAACGCCATGGATCTGCTTGGCCTGGGCAACTGTTTCACCCTGCTGTGTCCCGGCGCCGCCCCGCCTAGGCGTCAGCTAGGCAGGGGTCGGCGGATTACAATTCTGATCTCTCTTGCATATGCTGGGCTGAATATTTTTTACAATGGCTCACAAACTTCACTATATAAACCTAGCTACTGTCCAGGCGAATGCGTTTTCTGTTTTTTTCTCGGACATATTATGCCTTGGCCTTCCCTCAGCAGTGTGGATTGAGGCTCTGCTTTGCTGCGGCTGTGATCAACTTCAACTTGCCTTCTCCAGTTTTCCTGTTTGTTTTGTTCCATCATTGTGCCTTTTTTAAGCATCTTTTCAGGAATTGCTTCTTGTATTATAGGTCTTGTCACCGTTTCGCCTGGAAACAACCTGAAACAACCATTGTTCCTCAAATGTTGTGACGTGGAGGCTCTAGGTGTCATGCACTCTAAAATACACGAAGAAATGGACTCTCTCGTGGCGGAAACCGCCCGGCTGAACTACCCGCGACCATGCGACCCGAAACGCCACGAAACGCCACGTTTCACGTGCGCCGCTGCTTCCACCGCCTTCCCGCCTGCTCTCCAGGCGAAGGCCTCGCGGGACGCCAGTGCGCTGAGACGACACTGGACCGGGAAGACTCGGTCGCCGTACGTCGGCAGAGTTGGCATCGTGGTCGGGCTGAGGTGGTGAGGTGCATTGGTGACTGGGCCGTCCTGGTTGCCGTAAGCGAGACCACTCTTGGTTGGTTGATCTATAGAGGGAAGACCCCGAGGATAGGGTCGTGTACTACCAATAGGCCATATTTTACCGAATTGAGCCCTGTGTTTGAAGATCTCATGAGGTATCAATGATCAATTCAAAACAATCACTGGAAGAGCAAGGCCTGGAAGTTTCGTCCACCTTTAAAGGTCTCTTTCGGGTTCACCGTCGCTTCAGGAGTATCGAGGCCAATGGCAGCCCAAGCCCAATGGCGCAGAAACAGGTGACACCGTCCGCTTCGGGTGCTTCGGGTTCTTGCGCCCCTTCGTGCCGGGTCCAACAGGAAGATGAATAGCGAATCCGAACATGGACGAGGGGACGAGGTGTTTGTTTCTCCAAGAAGAACCGGAACTTGATTGAGTTTCGTCTTCAGAACGCTCCATCCAGGTTTTGGATGATCACCATGTTACGTCTTGACGAAACTGCCAAACAAGTTCCAGATTCTTGCAGGGGGGAAGGCTGGTTTTGTTGGGGGGGTCAGGGACGAACGAGCGCGAAGGATCAAGGAACGGTCAAGCTTACATGGTGTGAGTGGGGGGATCTGACAGATCTTGGTGGTCAAATCCAAGTCCAAGTCTTGTTTGGGTGTGTGATCAAATCCTCTCATGTTTCTTCAAATCCAAGTGTCCCATGTCCCAAATCATGCAAAGACTGTTTTTCCAGCTGCTTCAAAGTGACCTTTCGATGGTTCCTAATGAAGTGTATCTTGGGAGGCTGACCCAAACTACCTGGGAGCTCAGTTTTAGGTCACTTTGACGAACCAGGTTTGAAGTGAACTGTTGGAGGTCAAACCGCCTGTTTTGACTTGGAACGTAGACCACGTAGACCTCCCAGCTTCCAGCCATGGATCGCTTTAGGCTTGGTCCTTGTTTTCAGCTGCCTTTTTCTTGGCATCTCCAGGTCATGGCGTGGTGCCCCAGGACGGCACGGGAACAAACATCGCGAACGAAAACGACAAGACCGCAGCGTTCAAAACGACTCGACTGAAAAGAGGTGGGGGTGACATGGGGTGACGGCGACCACTCGTCAGAGGCGGATTCCAAGAAGAGCCCCTAGCTATAAATCCAGTCACCTTCTCAGGTACGGTGATTGGAGACCCTAGGTTCTGTAGGTGCATGTAGGTGCCAAGAAGGTCGGGTCCTCGTCCCGAACCTGGATCCCGGAGTGCAGAACTCGTTTCTGCGTCCGATCGGACGCGATGAGTTCCAACCCATGAGTTCCTGAGTTTCGATGGGAGGCCAGAGCCCTGCCACCTCACAATGCAGCCGAGCCCTTCGAATCAGACTGGCCGCCAGTTTCTGGCAGTTTCCAAGACCGAAGAAAGTGGGATTCGACCAAGCCGGAAAAGCTTCCAACATTCCAAAAAACACATCATGGCAGCATGGGCCCTGAACTTTCACTGGGTGCTGAACTCACCACGGTAGTCAGACTACACGAGAAGACTCATCTCGCATCTGGACACGGCTTAAGCGCCTTAAGCGCGCTCGCGCCACCTCCGCTCGCGCCACCGGAGGACTGGGCACTGGACGTGGCTTCGGAGAACGACCGGCAGTTGGCCAGCTACGGTCCCTCGGTCATGGACCAGCGGGGGGGGGGCGGTACCTGGCCGCGGTAGAAAAAGGCCACCGGTTGGTGTGTGGGTGCCCAATTTTTGGAACAGCGCGCAGAGGCTTCAGAGTGAACGGGTGACGAATGGGTTCGTCATTTTGTTGCTTTCTCCGCTTCAACTCGCCCTGCACACAACAACGAATGACCATGCTTTTTCCCCGACGCTTCCGCATCCAACCACCTTCCCTCCACGTTTCGTCTTCCGCTCCAACCTCTCCAAGACGTTTTAGGATGTTTTAGAACTTGGATTTGCCAGTAGAATAACATCCAAATGTATCCAACCATGATATATAAGATACATCAATTATAGAAGCCCTTTTTCCGGTCTTAGAGTCACTCATGGCACCAGCGGCACCACACGCGCCAAAAAGCAGAACGACCCCAGAACCACAAGCACTGTGCTTGTGAACATGGGGTGTTGCTTCGAGGAAGCAAACCTCACCTAAACAGCTATAACATGTTCCGCATCAAGAGAGGGTCTCAGGGTGGAGGCCAGGAGCCCCTATTAATAGCGTCCTTGCTCCCTTCGTAGCGATGCCCTTTAAGTTACTAGTCGCGTCCCTTGTTCCTAGTGTGGTAGTGATAGTGGCCCAGTAGTGGACCCCTCGGCACCTGTGCACTCCCTCGGCACCGTGGGGCGTGGCACTTCGGCGTGTCGCTTGCGAGATGCCTGGAGGTTGGGCGGGAGGCGCTCAATTGTGTCTCAGCAATGCCTTTGGCGAAGCCCAGCGCATCGAAGCCCAAGCGCAGGACGTGTTCGTTTTTGGTTGATTTTTCAAGATCTAATTACCTGCATCTTCCCAACGATGTGAAAACTCTATCCGTTGGCTGGTTCAATTTCAATAAAGATGTGTTCTTTTTTTTTTCATGTGTTCTTTTCTTCTCCGCCTGGGCGGTGAACATTCCATGCAGCGAGCACGGATGAAGATCTCTCCTACATGGTCCTGGTTTGGGTCCCTGGGCTGGAGGATTTGTTGAACGCCAAGACCGGGATGAAGATCATTTTGAGGGCGAAGACGATGAGAACAGTTAAGTCAGCTTTTGGAGCTTCAAGTGATTCAGATCAGACAGATTCCAAAGGGCTGAAGACTGGAAGGATATTGTCAGACACTCTGTCAGACCTGAAGGCAGACTCTGAAAACATGCCGTTTCGAGAGGCCAACAAGAACAGAAAAAACGGAGAGCAGAGATCGACACCCACGGGCCCGCTCGGCACGGATTGGCAAGTTGTTTTGATCGGTATTCTGGGTTTCGTTTCACCGGGGGGATTGGGCGGGACAGTGCCATTTTGGGGGTACAGGAGGGCCCACTGGACAGGAATCAGTTCGGATCTCACAAATCATCTTGGATCCACCAGGTTCGAACGGCGCAGGGATGAACCTATCAAACCAACCCAAAAAAGCCGCCAGTGGAGGAATTGGGTGCATCTTGCTAGAGGTTTTTTGGGATGGATCCATCGCGAGTTCTTCAGAGGTGTTTGTCCTTCAACTAGCTCCTTAGATGCTGGGATTCATCTCAGCCACTTTTCGATGGTGGT